TCCACAACTAGACTGAAGAACAAAAGGACAGCAACTTGTCTGTTCCCCTCCCCCAATTCCCCAATAAAGTCTAAAAAAAAAAAAAGATTTTTATTAAAAAATACAACTAACATACTACATTATATCAGTTTCAGGTGTACACCACAGTTATTCAACATTTAGATACCTAAAGAAGTGATCATCATAATAAGTCCAGCAATCATCTGACTGTACCACACTATCACAATATTATTGACTATATTCTCCATGCTGTACATACATCCCCATGACTGACTTGTTTTATATCTGGAAATTTGAACCTTTTATTTCCCTTCACCTTTTCCCCCCTTTTTAAAATTTTCAATTACAGTTAACACTCAATATTATTTTATATTAATTTCAGGTGTACAGTATAGTGGTTAGACATTTGCATAATTTAAGAAATGATCCCCTGACTAGTACTCACCTGGCACTCTACATAGCTATTACAATATTATTAACTAGATGGCCTATGCTTTACTTTACATTCCCATCCCATGACTTTTATAACTGCCAATTTGTATTTAATCATTTCACCTTTTCACCCTAATTCCCCACCCCCCCTACCATCTATCACCTATAATTTTTTTTAAAAGAACAAGTGTTGGTGAGGATGTGGATAATTGGAACCCTCATACATTTCTGGTGGGAATGCAAAATCGTGATGTCACTGTGGGGAAAAGCTTGGCAGTTCCTAAAAAAGTTAAGTATAGAATTTCCATATGACCCAGCAATTCCACTCAGGCATATACCCAAGAGAAATGAGAACACACCCACACAAAAACTGGTATGAATGTTCACAGCAGTATTATTCATAATACTACACAATAAAAAGTGGAAACAACCAAGAGTCCATCCACAGACTAATGGGTAAACACAATGTGGTTTATCCACACAATGGAATATTATTTAGCCATAAAAAGGAGTGAAGTATGGATGCCTGCTGCAACATAGATGAACTTGAAAAGATGCTAAGGGAAAGAAACCAGACACAAAAGGCCACACATTGTATGATTCGATTCATATTAAATGTCCAGAATAGATAAATCCATAGTAGATTCGTGGTTGACAGAGGATGGAGGGAGAAGGGAAATTAGGACTGACTGCTAATAGCTGCAGGGGTTTCTTTTGGGGATGATAGAAATATCCTGGAATTAGACAGTGATGGTACAACAACACAGTGAGTATACTAAAAACCACTGATTTGCACACTTTAAAATGGAGACTTTTATGTTCTGTATGTCTCCAATAAAATATATTGTTAGGACAAATCAATGCAGAGCATTCTTTAAGAAAATCTGTTGTATTGGAGAGAAAACTCTATGTTCATGTGCTTGTATAACCTTGGAAAGTTTCTACGAAGATACACAAGACACTGCTAGTACCTGTGACTACTTATGAAGTGGGGTAGACAAAGGGTACTTTCACTTGAAGCATTACCAACTAAGTGTGCAGAACTTCCCAATTTCTGGCAGGAGTGAGGATGTGCTGGAGCTGGGAGCTCCAACATATGTTTTTTTTCCAACACCACCAACCAATTAACTCAATTCTGACACTGTCTACCTGGAGATAACATCAGACCCCACAGGTTAAGGACTCAATACTACAAGTCTCTACTCAACCCCCCTTCAAATGCCAGTTGTCAAGTCCAGTTTGTCACCTGTGCATCTGACTGACTGGCAATAGACTGGAGGTTCCCATGACACCCTCCTCAGGTTTGAATAATTTGTTAGAGCAGCTCACAGAACTCAGAGGAACATTTTACTTATTAGATTACCAGTATATTATGTGAAAAGTTGGCATAAGTGGATCCATTTTATTTATTTATTTATTTTTAGATTTTATTGGGGAAGGGGGACAGTGTTGGGGAATTGGGGAAGGGGAACAGCCAAGTTGTTGTCCTTCTATCTTAGGTGTGGAGGGCACAGCTAGCTCAGCTCCAAGTCCAGTCACCATCCGGCCGCCCATTAGCAGCTCATGGCCACTCAGCTCAAGGTGCCATGTTCAATCTTAGTTGTGGGCGGGCGTATCCCACCATTCCATGTGGGAGTCAAACCAGCACCATCCCATGCGGGAGTCAAAACAGCAAGCTTGTTGTTAGGAGCACATACTCTCACCAGCTGAGCAGTCCTGACATCTGTTGGCAGCTCAGTGGCAGCTCAGTTCAGGCGCAGCCCTCTGGCCCATGGAACCAGTGACCCTGTTGCTCAGAGCTCGTGCTCTTAACCACCTGAGCCACTTGGCCTGCCCAAGTGGAGTCAGCTATTCCAGAGGAGCTGCCTTGCATATCTTGCTCCTTAAACCTTTGGAATATTTGAACCTGGCAAAATAACTTTTGTTTGTATGTTATGTACCATTGAGGTGGCTCCTAATCCTAGCAACTCTATGAATGAGTGATGTCCACAATGTCCTGACCTCAGCAGCTCTTGCTCACCTCCTGTAGACTCATGCCTATGGCTTCTTTTATGGAGTCAGTCCATCTCATATTTGGTTTTCCTCTGTTCCTGCTGCCTTCCATTTTTCCTAACATTATTGTCTTTTCTGAGAACCCTGACTTCTCATGATGTGCTTGAAGTAGGGCAGCTTCCGTTTTGTCATTTTTGCCTCCTGCAATGTTTGAGGCTTAATTTGCTCTAGGACCCACTTGTTCATCTTCCTGGCAGTTCAGGATATCCTTAGAGCTCTCCTCCAACACCATATTCCAAATGAATCCATTTTCTTCCTATCAGTCTTCTTCACTGTCCAACTTTCACATCTGTATATAGTAATTAGGAATGTGAGAGTGTGGATGATTGGACTTGACCAAAACAACGTTGTCTTACAAACAACTGTTTGTAAAGCTAACGGGAAAGCAGAGACCTCTTTATCACAGAGACATGATTATGGATATTCCTTAGAATCAGTAACTAGCCATGTATAACTAAAGGGTAACTCAGTTTGTTAACACCAATATGAATTCCTTTCTTCCATTCATGTAATTACTTCTCTTCTTTTTCTCATATTATAAAAAGCCCTGCCTTCGCCCCATATTCGGGACATAATTTGGGTTTCTACCAGAATCTATCCCCTTGAATTGCAATTCTTTTTTATTTCAAATAAACACTTGATTCTTCTCACTTTGGCTTTTTATTTTTAGGTTTACAATTATAAAGGGACGTAACTCAGAAATAGCTAGATGGAAGAGGTGCATAGGGCAAGGTATGGGGAAAGGGCTCAGAGTTTCAACACGCTTTTCAAGCATGCCACTCTCCCTGAGTCTCCATGTGTTCACCAACCCAGAAGCTCTCCAAACCTAGTCCTTTCGGTTTTTCATTACACAGGCATGATTGATTAAATCATTGGTCATTGGCCACAACTTAGTTATGCTTGAAATAAGTTTGTTATGAATATCAAAACACCTCCATCACTCTTATTGCTTAGGAAATTCCAGGGGTTTTAGGAGCCCTGTGCCAGAAATGAGGACAAAGACCAAATATATATTTCTTATTATAAGTCGCAACATCACAGAATGAAAGAAAACGTCTCCATCAAGGATCCCAGTGATGGTTAATTTTACATGTCAATTTGAGAGGGCCACTTTAAGCATAATTCTGGGTGTGTTTCCAGGTGAAATTAGCATTTGAATGAGTGGATTCTTAAAGTAGATGGCCCTTAGCAAAGTAGATGGGCATCATGAATTCTTGGAGGGCCTGAATAGATCAAAAGATAGAGAGGAAGGAGGAATTCACCCCATTTTTCTGCCTAACTGATTGAGCTACCATATCTCATCTTTTACTGCCCAGGAACTGGGATTTACACCATCAGTTTCCCTGGTTCTCAGGCCTTCAGACTCAGATTGAATCACACGGCTTTCCTAAGTCTCCAACTTGCAGACAGCAGATCATGGGACTGCCATGATTCATATATCATCTATATCTATCTATCTTTATCTATCTATCGATATCTATATATCTATATTACATTTGTATAGATATATAATATCCTATTGGTTCTGTTTCTCTAGAAAATCCTAATACAGACACAGATTCAAGTCCCAACAGAGACGTTACAGGTGACACAATGTGTAAGCAATAAGCAGCTCATGCCCAAGAATGAACAAACACACTTGGCCTTGTCATTGGAGACAGTATGGATTGGCAGTGACAAATTGGAGAAAACAAGTCCAGCCCTAGAGCTCTCAAGCTTATTGCTGTCACTCAGGCAGTGAAGGCAGTGTCGCCTGATCTTTTGATTTCTTTAAGTAAACTCAAAGTCTGGAGTTTTAGGTGAAATCTCCCAATTTGTAAAAATTGGTGACAAAACAAACAAAAAATGTTTAAAGAGGGCAGGCCAAAGAAAATGCAACTGCAAGTCAAGTCCAACCCCCAGTCCCCAGGGTAGGAGCCTACTCTGGAAAGCCAAAGTCAAGAAAACGCATCACTCAGCCAAACCCTCCTGAACTGGCCTGCACTGACCAGCAAGGAAAGCATCTAGTTTCCAGGGAGCTCCAGGTTTACAGAGAACAGAGGCTGCACAGGGAGAGACCCTAAGACATTCACAATCTTGAATTTTCAAGGCAACTAAAGCCTACAGCCATCACAGTTAATTGGTTTCTATTTTAATCATTTTGATGAAAGCATTTCTAGGTGAGTCACATCTCGGCTGTTAAACAAAAACTTTTCCTGCTGAAGCTTTTTCTGAAAAAAAACAAAAAAAACAAAAAAAAAACGAAAAAACACAAACAACAACAACAACAAACAAACAAACAAAAAAACCACACACACACACAAAACGATTTATTGAGCCACATGCTAGTTAGAAAAAGGACCAGGTCCTGGGCATGCAGCCTAAATCACCAGCAACAGGGCTAGATGGGGAAGATGAACATGTCCACTGTCCTGGAGCTGATGGGGATCTTCTAAAAATGTAAGTTGTTTTGAAATAAATTACATTGGCTATAGATAAGGAGGGCAGGAAAAAGTGAAGCAGGGTCAGTTGTAGGATAGGTGCATAGTCCATAAGGAAGAAATATTAACTACTTTTTTTTTTTTTTNACACAAATGCTTTCTTAGTTTTTTCAGAATTATTTTTTGATATCTTATGTTGCTATATGTAAATCTAGTTCATGATCACTGAGAGCTGCATGTGTTCCATTGTATGAATATATGAAGTTTAACTTATCCACTCTTTACATAAATTTCATCTCTCTCTTTCCTAATGTGCCTAATACGGCAAACATTTTTATACATGTTTTTTTTTGTTTTGTTTTTTTTTTAGCTGAGCCATCCTGCCACCTGTTGGCAGCTCAGCGGCAGCTCAGCTTGGGCCGGGAATTGAACCATCATTGCTCTAAGCTCACACTCTTGAGCAAGCTCTTAACCAACTGCCTTAACCACACTTAACCACAAACTCTTAACCACTCTGCCGGCCCTATTTACTGCTTTTTATTGTGGTCAACAATCCAGAAAATTCATGCATAAGCAGGATGCGGTAGCATCTGGAGGTGTTATGGACCAAGCGAGTACCCCTTCCCCTCCCCCGCAGAAAAACTGTTAAGTTTTCTTTCCTATAGAAATGTTAAGTCGCCTCCCTAGTTTCTTAGTTCCTGGCTTTGGTTACTCTTCTAATCAGTTTGCGAATCCTGGACTAAAGATTTCTCCTAGCCTGAATCATAGAATTCTCCTATCCCCCTGCTTCTTGATTGTTTTGTAAATCAGTTTGGTGATTTTTTTTAGGATCTTATTGGGGAATTGGGGGAGGGAACAGCATTGAAGAATTGGGGAAGGGGAACAGATAAGTTTCTGTCCTTTGGTTCTTCAGTCTAGTTGTGGAGGATGTCACTTCATTGGCCCATGGTGGTATTGTGATCATTGTGCTCTTCCCAGCTGAGGCAGTTGGTCACCGGCCATTGGACGGCCATTCACGGCGGCTCATGGCAGCTCACGCTGGCTGCTGGCCACTCACAGTAGCTTACGGCAGCCAACTGCAGCCTACGCCATCGCCAGTGACTCATGGCAGCCTAGCTCCTCTACATCTTAGCTGTAGAGGGCACAGTGTCACTAGCCCATGTGGAATCCAAACCGGCGGCCCTGCTGCTCAGAGTTCGCGCTCCCAAGCCAACTTTTCATCAGTGCCTCAGTGTGCCTTCGTGGTTCTCATGGTCACAGCATGGTTGCTGTACTTCCAGCATCACACCTGAGGTTCCAGCAGGAAGAAAGGGTGAAGGCAGAAAGCAATCCAGCCGAATCTGTCCATTTTTATTAGAAAAATAACAACTTTCCCAGAAGTCCTACCCAGCAGACTTTCACCTCATCTCATGGGCCAGAACTAGGCGAGTGGCCACTCTTAATTGCAAGAAAGGCTGGAAAATCAATTATTTTTACTCGGTATATTGCTGCCCAGACAAAACTGGGGTTTCATAAGGGGAGATGGGAAAGGGGAGATGGCCACTGAGACAAACAATGTTGAATGGTTGAGGACTCAGAATCCAGCTAGACTGGGCCCCTCTCTGGATACATGGAGGGGGAGGGCTGTCAAGTTTTTATGACTTCTTAGGGACCCATCCCCCAAGCTCTCTTAATTCTTTGTTTAGGATGAGCGATTTTTAAGTCTGTCAGGAGTCCAGCTGGGGGCTGAGCTAAGGCCAGGCTAATGAGGATGAAGTACATGGTCAAAACTGCTCTGCTTTGCATAGTGAGGTCATCGTGGGGCGGGGTGGGGGGGGGTCTTCTAATGTAGAAAGCCAGCAAGTGTGGTGGGGCTGCTGAGGGGGCTTGCTCCAGGGGTAGCACCTGTCTGATTCCTTATATGGTCCTGTATGTTTACAGGAAAAAAGAGCAAGTCCCAATAGCAGTTGGTGGGGCACCAAGGGTGGAAGGGGACTCATCTCTCCACTTGGTTCCTTTTTATAAATGGGAGGAGAATAAAGCAGAACCACCTGTTTAAAAATGAAGGCCTGAAAAAGCATGGCCACATAATCCCCCTTGTCTGGGTCAGCTTCATCGAGGTTGGGCTCTGGGATCCGGTGGAAGTGGGTTGTGTGCAAGAATCCAGTCTCAGGTCCCACATAGCTCCTGGAGGACATCTGGTCCCAAACAGGGCTCCTGAGCAGACTTCTGCTATAAGCGATCGGCCATGGGTAATACCCCGCCTCTCTCCCTTTCCCCCCGCCCCCAACAAAGTATCACTATTCTTTAAGGACAGAGCCCTGCTGGCCCCCATCCCACCACCCTGCATCCTCCCTGCCCACGCCACCTTCCATAGCTCTCTAGTCAATCCTTTATTTTCCCATCTTCCTCCCTGGATTCCTCCAAGCCCAGGGCCTGGTCAGTGTGCCTTTGCGCCCAGAGCCAGGGGCACAGAGGTACAGAAAAGTATCTGCACAGACAAATGAACAGACTAGCAGATGGAAAGAGAGTTTTGTGGATGGCTGGAAGGTAAACAGGAGGCAGGGTGATTAATAAAAACCTGGCCACAGGAGAAAGTCTGCCGCTTTGGTAGGGGAAGGGTAGGAGGCTTAGAAGGGACTTGGTTGATACCCAGCTCAGCCAGTATTCACAGCACACCCACCTCCGAAGCTCCTGGCGTCTACTCCATGGCAAGCTTGAGGATGCAGCCCCAAATAGGCTTTCCTTGCCCTCCCAGGTTCCCAGGGGAGCAGCATGGTCATGAAGAAATGGCTTTACCTCTCGGGGCCTCAGCTGGCTTATTTGTGAAATGGGGATAGCAGTGGCACACCCTCCAGGGTACGGTGAGGGAAAATGAGGGCATGTGTGTAGAGTTCCTGATCCAGGAGGAGGTGTGCAGTGGAAGGTGGGTGTGGCTGTGAGGGTAAGGACAGGGACCAAGGAGGACAAGGGAACCACAGCTGGCTCTTGCACTCCTGCTTATGGCCACAAGGCCTGCTGGAGCATGTGCTCATCTGCCACCTCGTGTGGGAGTGTCACCACCAAGCCCTTGTTTTCCCGCATCGTCTGGCAGATGATCTCATAGGCTTTCGGGTTCCCAGACCAACAGCGACGGGCCACCTGCCGGCGGGGTATGGAGAGGATGGTGCAGCAGTTGGTGCTAACATCACTGGGTTTGCAACAAGGCATTCTGGACAGACTAGGGCTGGGCTCAAAGCCCCTGTCCTCCCTACCGAGGACCCTCTCTGCTATCAGTGGGACCAGCAGTTCTTTGTATTTGTCCTGGCCCTACCCCTGGCTTGGGCCGCCGCCTCTCTTGGCTGGACTACTATTTACTTGCCTCTCTGGTCTGAAGCTGGTCATCCTTCTGCCCAGCCTCCCACTCCATGCAAGGGCATAGTTCAGGTACCCCGGAGTCATCCTCAGCGCCCCTCTTCTCTGGCCTCATAGAATGCACAGCCACCTTGGCTCTGCCTTAAAATCTCTCTCTGGTCTACTTCTTTCTCTCCATCTCTGTCATCAAGGCTCCCCGGATGACGGTCATGGCACCTCCCCAACCTCCGTGCTGCCATTCTTGCCAATCCCTGTCCACATGTCCCCTCATGCCTCCCCCAGTCCATCCTCTCATTGCTTCACTGACTTCTGGATTAAGGACCACCCCCCCCTCCCTGATGGGGGCTCCAGGGAAGTCAGGTCCTCCAGGGAACCCCTCCACCTTCACTCTCACATTCACCCCTTGGGCCACCCAACATCAGATTCTCTGGGTTCCTGAGCTCAGCTCCTCATTTCACTCACCGATGCACATACCCTTCCCCAATGCCACCTGACTTCCCATTTGTTCCCTCTTCTTGGATGCTTATGTGGTTCCGGGGAGGATGGAGCCCCCCACAAACACACGTACCGAGAGCCCATTCTAGATGGCAGCAAAGCTGATCATAGCTGCACAGCCTGAGGCTGTTCTAGCTTAGCTCCTATACTCTCTGGCCCACCTCAGAGATGGTAGTAAGATAAGGTTTTAAAAGAAGGCCTCTCTGCAATAGCAATGGGAGGTGCTGCACTGGGAAGACAGGGTCAGACACCAGGGGCCCTCTGTGTGGACAAAGGCTGAACTGGAGGGTAAGGCCAGAGGCCAGGATATGCAAAGGAGCCTCTGGAAACAGACCGGGAGAGAAGCGGGCAGCTGATGAGGAAAGACACAAATGAATTGGAATGGCAGAATGGGCTCCTGACCATTTCTGGGGTAAAAGTGGCAGAACTCTGGCTCAAGTCTGCAGTCAGAAGGGGCAGAGCCACCAATGAAGAGAGAAGGCAGGGGCAAGACTTGGGGTGACTTACTCCATTGGAGACATCCCAACTGAGCATCATCTTGGCCTTCTGCTCGGCCTCCTGGGTCCCATCCAGCATGAGGCCAAAACCCCCATTGATCACCTCACCCCTGCAAGAGGCAAAAGTGTTTCCAGGTCATTCCTCCTGGGTCCTGACCCTGCACAGAACAGGGAGAAATGCACGAGATTTTGGAATGTTCTAAAAGCATTTGAGGATATGTCATGGCCAGCCCCTGCAGCCAGAACCTACGCCCTCTTAACAGCCTAGGGATGCAGGAGCCTCACAGTTCTGCACTGCCCACTTGTGCCTCTGTGCTTTAACCCATGAATCCTGAGCCCACTTTCAGGACCCAATCCTGTGTCACATTTTGCTTGAAGCCTGACCACCCGAATGTGACATGACCTCCTTCTCCTGCGGTTCTCAGAGTGCTTCCTGTAAAGGTCCTGTTCCGTGTCTCTTGTATCACTCAATTCAATTGCCATTCTTCCTGATTTTCTCTTTATGTTCCTCATCTTCCTTACTCCTTCTTTCTGCTTGTTTTAGGTGTATTTTGGGGTCCTGATTACTTGATTTGAAGGCTGAGTTCCTTTATTTTCAGCATTTATTTTCTAATTAACAACACATTTCTCCGAGTACTGTTTTGACCTTCTCTCACAGGTGTGATATGTTCTTGTGTTCATTTGTTTAATAAATGTCATTTGAATCTTACTTGAGTATGTTAATACTATTCCACTTTTCACATGTTTGCCTTAAGGTTTTTCTCCATCAGCCATGAGGACCCTCTCCTTCCTGGCACTCTTAGACTTCCATCCTCACATGCGATGTCATTGTCAAGGGCTGCTAGACCCAGCCAAAGTTCCTCCTCAGCCTGCATCACTATATTTCATGTGTCCCCTTCGGTTACACACACAGGAAATTCCCTGGATCTTGTCAGCACCTGCCAGGGCTTTACTGCTAAATAACAGACCTTGGGACCACAGCATCTATCTGACCTTTCAGTACTCACTGCCAGTGAATTTGCTCTTTCTCCTTCCCACACCTGGAAGGTGCTAGTTTCTCTAGCCTCAGATCCTTCAGGCCTCTGTGGCCTTACCTACTTCTCTGCCCAGCCTGGACCCTACTGGCAATTTCAGTCAGTTCCCATCAAGAAAGTGAGGAGCCCTCTGCCCCAGGAGCCACCAGTGCTCCTCGCGCTGGGCGCGGGAGCTTCCCCTGCCTGGCCCTCAGCCTGGTGTTGATGCTAGCCTGCACCTGGGTGGCCCTGTGCCTGCAAGCAGGCTCCGATCACGTCTCCCACCAGTCGCTAGGGTGGAGAATGCTCTGACTAGATTTAAGATCATCACCATTTACCTGTCAGAGGTTGATGCTGGTTATCAGAGAAGAAAGTAGGAAGCAGCCAAAGTCACCAAGTGAGGACCTCCCGTGAGTCCTTCGACCGAAGAGGTCTTTTTGAGATTAGAACTACAGCTTTCATTTTGGGATCCTGAAGCCCTGATGGTCAGAGACCAAAGCTGCTCAGCTCCAGGTAACTATTGCAAGCCCTGACCATGGGGGAGCTGTGAGCATGCTGAGCCCAGGGAGATGGGGTCCTAAAAGCAGCATTGCTATCAGTGCAGCATTTGGGGTTACAAAGGCTAGTGCTGGGACAACTAGCCTTTTGAAATAAACATAAAAGTAGAAGCTTACATCACACATAAAGAAAAACAAAGGCCAGATGTGCTAATCAAGGAAATATTTAAAATTATAAAATGAATAAAGTGTAGGAGCATGTTTTTTTGTTTGTGTGTCTGTTTGTTTTACATTTGGGAGTTGGGAGGTATTTAAAAGCCAGAGAGCCAGAATAGAAAAGTCACCGGATTAAGATGTAAAACTCCCCTGTGAGGATAGGGGCCCTGCCCTGGGGCCCCTTCCAGAAAGCCTGGCTCTGGGGAGGGTGGTTCACTCACAGTCCCTAGCAATATCTCCTTAGGGTCGTTCTTGGGGCAGAGACTAAGTGATGCCATGATGGGGCCTGCCCATTTCTGCCCAAAGCGGCTCCTCCAATGGCCATCTGGGCTCTAGAGCTTCCTGCCGGGCGGCAAAACTGCCAAAAATGCATGAGACTGAGGGCTCCTCCTCTCAAGCACTCTGCCTCCTGCCCAGCTTTTCCAGTCTTCCTTTCCCAGGTGGTCATCCCCAACAAGCCTTTTGCACACTCCCAACTCCACCTCAGTCAGCACCTGCCTCCTGGAGAACGAAAGCAGCACAGATGCTTTAAACAAAGTTCAAAGACAAGCGATACGAATCCAAAAAAATCCATCTAATATCTAGAACAGATCAAAAATGCCTGCAGATCTATTGGGTTGTCAGAAAAGTCATGACGCATTTTTGCAATGTAAAACATAGAAAAAATACGTCATGACCTTTCCGACAACCCAATATAAGAAAAAGCACACAACTCAAAAACATAAACCGGGGAGTGAGCAATTCAAATCAAAACAAGAATTTGTTACTTCTTGCCCAGTAGCCTGGTAAATCCCATATCAACATCCAGTGAGTGATCACATTTAGTGTTGATGAAATTATGTAAAGAGGAATTTTTATATCAGAAAATTTGGTGGTAACTATCAAAGTTTAAAACACCCACCTTTTTTGAACCTGAGATCACAAATAGCATGCATATGATAGAGGTTAACATTTATGGGAGGTATGCCACTTGCTGGGCCCTGTTCTGGCTCCTTTACAAGACATTTGTGGTGGGTTGGCACATGCATTCAGGCCTCCTGCAATCTCATTTTGCTGTGACAGCTGGGCAAAGTTACTTATCTCTGCCAGGTAGTACCTATTTCTTAGATGGGACTGTTGTGAATATTAGATGAACTAACACACAAATTTCTTAGAAGAAGTCCTCACACATATTATGCATTATATAAGCCTTAGCTATTATTAACCCATTTAATCTTTACCACTAGCCTACAAAGCAGTTGCTATTCAATGAGAAACAAAGCTCAACAGTTTAACTAGTGCAGACAGATCGACTTCAGAATCCACGCTCTTAATTGTACTACAAAATTGTACATATGAAGATGCTCCCTGCTGCACTGGGGGTGGGAGTGAAGGAGGTCTGTGTGTGCATATAGTGGGAACCCTCAGTGCCCTGGCTACTCATAGTGGTCTTCGGGCCAGTGGAAACAGCATCACTGGAGCTGGTTAGAAATGCTGAATCTCCCCCCATCCAGACCTGCCTAGTCAGAATCTCCATTTTGACAAGCTCCCTAGGGATTCCTGTGCACATTCAGGTTTGAGATGCACTCTAAGAGGAAAAAATGTCAGAATCTGGATAAAGATGGTGGATCAAATACATAAATACATTCTTCAAAGTCATGTGCCCTGAGGCTGGATCTGGGTGTGAGGACAGGAGGCACATTCCAAGTTGAGACAGCAAACATGGAAAGAGTCTCAACACCCAACAGTGAAGCCCTGTCCCTTCCACCTAGCTCCTAGAACTGATTGCACCATCCCTACAAGGACCAACCAGCCAAAGACAGAGACTGACCACTGACCTCTCCTGCTCAGCAGTCCACTATCCAAAGGTCCCTGAGCATACAGGGTTGCAGACTGACTATTGGTGCCCTCTCTAAATATGAGCAAGGGCAGCTGGACAGACAACACAAGGACAGACACCAAGAGAGCAATCAGAAACAGGGGCTCCGAGGAAACAGAGGCAATGGAGAGAACAAAAACAACACACGGCTGACGTTGATCATTGGGGAAACACTAAGTGCTCCAAAACAGGGAGCCAATAATTCACAAAACTAAAGGCAAATCAAGAAATAGCAGAATAAGCATATAACTTAGAAATATAGATTTCCGTACAAAAAAGAAAAAAATAAAAAGCTGGAGTTAGAAGTGGTTTCCTCCTGAAGTAAGGATAGTCATGGGACAGATTTTTTTCCTGCTAATTTTTGCAGTAAGCTTTTCAGGATATATATGACAGATAAAATTATGTATGTGTGAGTCTGATGGATTCCAACGTGAATTTGAGGTGCTTTCCTAAAAGAGCCCTCGAAAACAGCCAGGATACAAGGTGGTGATGCCAGCATCTTGCCAGCTTGTATCTCTGTCCACAGAGCCTGGGGGCAGCCTTGGGGTGGAAGCAACTTGGAAACTTGTAAGAAGCATTCCCTTTCTCAGGGTTAGAGTGAGCAGTGGCCTGCCTGAATTTTGGCCCTGTTGTCCCCTGCCCCAAGGCCTTGTATTGTTGACTCTTGGCGGCTCTGCCCTGCCCCTTCTTGGTCTCTGTTTTCTTGTTGACAGTAATGAGTGAATCCTGGGAGGTGACAGATCTGGTTCCAGATCACCACAGCTCCACCACCAGCTTTGTCCTTGGGCAAGTTACTCCCTGTCAAGAGTCACTCTTCACTTCCAGAACCCATTCAACAAATCCAGTGCCTGAAGCACTGGCACCTAATAACCAGGCGTTCTTTTCATCCTGTTTTTCTCCAGCATTTGTATAGGGAAGAAAACACACTCCGGTCACATTTTCCATTAATTAGAGCCACATGACTGAGCTGCACCTTGGAATTTCGGCCAAGCCAGCCCATCGGAATGCCCTGGGAAGTTCGAGTGCTGAAAGACTGGGCTTTGGAGTGCAAGGCCAGGCTTGATCTGGCCAAAACAGGCTCAGGGGTCAGTTCGTAGAGGGCCAGGCCTAGGGAGATATCCTCCTCTCTGAAGCCTTAGTGCCCTGTGATGCTCTGGGTAGCCAGGAATCCAGGTTGGCCTGGGAACTTTCCCAGGTGACTCCTAGAGGCAGACCCTGTGCAGGTGCAGCTCCTGCAGCTCCTTAACCTCTGGGTACCTCAGTTTCCTCATCCGTAAAACATATTTTCCTTCTAAGATTAGGTGAGAGAGTGCATGCAAAGAGTGTAGCAAACGCTTGCATGGAATCCATGTGCAATAAGTATTAGTTATTCACTATTCTTAGCAGCAGATGTGATACTGTGATGTGTAATAATTTGATCTTCATCTCTGTTTCTAGCACAGAACTCTTAAAACCCTTGGAATTCCTAAGTGTTGAGAATAATAAAGATGTCTTTTGTTATATTAATGAAGTGACTTGTGGACCCCCCCCCCCAAGAATGTAGGTTGGTTGCCAGAGGAACTGACCGTGAATAGAGGGTTAAAACTTTCAGTCTTGCTCCCAGAGCTTGGGGAGGGGAGAGGGGCTGAAGGTTGAATTGATCACCAATGGCTAATGATTTAATCAATCATGTCTATGTAGTGAAGCCCCCATAAAAACCCAAAAAGGATGAGGTTCAGAGAGCTTCTAGGCTGGGGAACCAGAACACTTCCTCATGCCATGGTGCTGGGCCCCACTCCACGAGGACAGAAGCTCCTTCCTCAAGGTACCTTGCCCTATGTACCTACCTCTTCATCTGACTGTTGATTCGTGTCCTTTAATCTCCTCTGTAATGAATCAGTAATCTAATGAGTAAAGGGGTTTTCCTGAGTTCTGTGAGCTGCTCTAGCAAATTAATAGAACTCAAGGAGGGGATCATGGGAACCTCCATTCTGTAGCCAGTCAGTCAGAAGCAGGCAACAACCTGGGCTTGAGATTGGCATCTGAAGTGGGGTGTGAACAGTCTTGTGGGACTGAAACCATAACCTGTGGGATCTGACTACCTCCAGGTAGGTAATGTCAGAATTGAGTTGAATTGTAGGACACCCAGCTTGTGTCAGAGAAAATTGCTGGTTGATGTGGAAACCGCCCCCTCCCTGCCCCCATGTTGGAGGTGGGTGCAGAATTACAGTGGACATCATGATGGAATTGCCAATGTCAGCCAGAATGAGACCTTCCCAGAAACCTCAATTTCCTCATGGTACAGACTCGAAACAGCACTGGCCAGGACAGAGCTGTAAGCCAGGGACCCAGGGGAGCCTAGAACCCAGGTCTCTTGCCTCCCAGCCCATTGCCCTGGGAACACGGCGTGGACTGAAAAGACAGTACTGTGAGAATTCCTGAGACAACATCTGTGAACACACTAGGAAAACTGACATGAAAGGGGCGGTTGAAATTCTGACAGCCTTTGTGTCCTGTGTGACAGTTGAGATCCCAAAAGGTGAGTGGCTCGTGCAAGACACTCCCTTATGCCCTCCCCAATGTTCTGTCCCTCCAACGTCCAGCTCACATGAGGAAAACGTTACAGCAAAACCCTCAGCAGAGGGAGATCATAGGAGGCAGGGCCCAGGACCCTCAAGGGAGTCCCTGTGCCTTCCACAGGAGCCCGTACCCCCACCACGTTGTATTTCAAAACTTCTTACCATCCCACGCCCCCACCGTTGTGAAGAGCGACCCAGGTGGCTCCTCGAAAGGCATCGCCCACGAAGTTCTGCACAGCCATGTCTGTGGAAACAAAGGTTCTACATGTCATCCCCTGAATGACGTGAGCCAGCGCCAGGCCAGGCTCTGGCCAGCGCACAAGTTGGTATCCACAGGCCCCACTGGCTGAGCCAGCACCACTTAGGCCTGAAGGACAGATAGGGAACTAGGGACAGGTGACTCTAGAAACAACATAATTTATGTTTGCAAAGCTGAGCAAAAGCAGGAGAAACAGACAAATGCCCACTTACCCACTATTATCCTTCCCTATAGTTATGCTCTCTAGCACTGAATGCCAGATAAAGTACCTCAGAGGCAGAAAGAACAATAGCATTAAAAGGGAGGTGTTAGGGG